AATTAAATTAGTATCGAAAAGTAAGAGATAACCTAGTAATTTGATAATTTCAGATGATTGATAAAGCTGAAATTGTGAATTTTTAGTAATTTTTTTAGGTAAGGTTAAACTTTTTTAAGATTTTTTATCTTTAGAAAGGAAAATACAAAACTAATAGTAGTTAAATTAGGGTTGAATCAGGGTCAAAGCGGGGGTGATTAAAATACTGATGAGATACTCGTGAAATTTAATTAATAATAAATTCAATAAATATTCATCATTTTCAAATCAAAAGGAATAATTCATATGATTTGTAATAATGAATTAATAATTATTATAGATATTTTATCGATTCTAAATTCAAGTCAAACAAAAGGGCTTATTTGACTCAAAATACGTAATTAATAATTGTTTATACCAAATGAAATAATTTGGCTTATATATAATTATATTTTAATAAATATTTTGCTAATAAAATAATTTATTTGACTTGAAATAATTATTTGCGATATTCTAATTAAATGAAACGAATGTATATTATGTAATTATTATAATTAATTAAATTTTCGTGAATATTCATTTAATAATTTTTTTTAGATTAGTAATGTATTGAATTGATTTATTTTTTATAAATAGTATGCTTTTTCGCTTCTCTTTTTTTAATAAAATTTTTTTTACAATCTTTTTAATCACATTTTATTACATTGAACAATAAATTCATTCTTATCACAAAATTTATCACAAATTTTAATTTTTTCATTTCATTTATTCTTTTGTTATTTCTTTTTCATTTTTTCGAAAAATAAAATTGCTTTTAATCAAATACTTAATTTGTTTATTCATTTATCCAAACAATTCAAAAGTAATTTTTGCTTATTATTATTTCAAAAAAAATTTTTAAATATATCATGTATGTTGCTGAGTAGACTGATGAGAAAATTGAATGTTTGATTGAAAAAAAAAAAGATAGGAAATAATGAATTTCATTACAAACATGAAAGAAATAAAAAAAAATTTGGCAAAATATTGCTAATGAAATTAATAAAGAGCAAAAATCATTTTTTATCAGTAATCAATGCAGACAAAAATTCAATAGTCTCGTAAAAGATTATAATGTAGGTTTTATTTTTTTATCTAAGAAATATAAATTTTATATTTACACATTTATAAATAATATGAATATATCTAATAATATTAATTTTTTATCTCGTATTATAGAATCTGTTAGATTTTGAAAATAGCAAAAGGAATGAAAAGATGACTAGATTGGCTATTTATTACAATAAATTTAAAACAAATTTTTGAAAAAAACCTGATAACTATCTCAAATAAAATTAATATAATTTAAGGATTATTTTTTTGATATTTTATTAACAAAATACGTTTTAGTAAATGCTTATAATAAGAAATATGAATCTATTTTAAAAATAAAAAAAATAAAGAAATTGAAAGTAAATATAAATTTATTTTTAGTTTTTGTATTTTTTTATATAAATAAATTAATATATTTAATTTGAATTTTCTAATAAAAATTTTTTTTTTATAAAATTAAAGTCAGAATTTAAGTCAGAATTGGAAAGAGATATAAAAAATAAAAAAATTATTTTGATTATAATTTTTTTAATAATATTTTGTTTTAAAAATGCTTATATAAAAAAAAATTCTTTTTTTTTATTTAGTTTTAAATAATAAATATAAAGATTTACCTTCTATGTATGAAGAGGTAATATATATTGAAGATAAAACTTCAAATGAAGAAAAATCAATCTTTTTAAATGAATGATATAATTGGATAGAAGGTAAGTAAGCCTATTTTGTCTAAAATTTGAATTTAATAAAAAAAAAAAGGTAATATTCTATAATCTAATTATAATAATGATTTTTTTTATAGTAATTTTTGAATTTATTTTGATAAAAAAAAATTAATTATCAACTAATTTGGTAAAAAAAAATTATCGAGTGAATTTCATTGGTTAGTTTGCGTTTTTAATCAAAAATTAAAGGATTTTTTTTTATACTATAAAGAATTGAATTTTTTTTTTATATATATATAATAATTTGATTGAAATAAAAAACTTACTTTGATTTACATAAAAATTTTTTTAATTAATATATTTATTGTTTATTTAAAAAACAAATTTGCATAAAATAAAAAAAATTTAAAAAATTTCTTAAATGTTAAAATCAAAAAATTTAATTATCATCATCTTCTTCATGATGAGAGTCGAGAGTATTAAATGCAAAATCAACAAGTTTTAATTTTTTGATAGTTCATGTTCGAGTAGTTACAGAGATTTTGCATTTGCTAATAGTTGGTATAGATTATTGAATTTTGGTAGTAGATGTAGAAGCAATAACCTGCTAATCGATTTCAAAATTTGTGTATTCATCAATAAACACAAAAGATTCTTCGCAAATGGTTGAGTTTTGTAAAGATTTTAAAGATTGTTAATATTTATTATGTATCAAAATTGTTGATTTTATAGTTTGCATAGAATTTTTGTGAAATGCTTGAGCCATCAAATTTAAAATTAGTGAGGATGATTTTGATGAATTTGATCAATTTCATTGATAATAGCAGATTCGGAAGCCAAAGCTATACCTACAACATTTATTTGATGAATAGGTAAATCTTCAGGAGGAATGTATAAAATAACTGCAGAATTTAAAATTAGCTAAAATAAAATTATATAATTCAAAATAAATAAAATCAATGTATTAATAAATTAATTAAAATAAATAAATAAAATAAGTATTTCTTTTAAATATATATATTTTTTACATCAATTTCACTATTTTTCTAACTTTTAGTAAACTTTGAATTTGCAATAGATACAATAAGACCTTCTTTTAATTTGGGAACATAAGATAGTTTCGATTCTTCAATAGGATAAAAATAGTAATATTAAAATTTGAGTTGAATCATTTTCATCGAGCCTAGTGTATCCAACAGCTTTTCCATAAAAAATGTATAAGATTGTAGATAATTGAGCTGGCATATTGAATAATTTTTTTTTTTGAATTAAAAAAATGCATTGTTAATATTTAAGAGAGGATTTGATTATGATTTTTTTTAATTTTAAATAATAAAAATATTTAACAATGTATTTTACTTTTCTTTTTAAAAGAAAATAATTTAAATCAATAATCCGTTTTAGATTTTATTTGTTTGTTATTTGTTGTGAAAAATCTTTTTATTTTTCATAAAATTTTATATTGTTTATGATTTGAATATAAGCACGTTATTGTAAAAAAATAGAAAATTTTATTTTATTTTTTCCAAAAGAAAGAAATATGCAAGACAAATAACAAATAAAGGAACGATTTTTTTAAAAATAATACAAACGATGAAAATACAATACATGTAATATATAAAATAACAAAAAAGCATACATATAAAAATATTGTGTAAAAATTCTTCAAATAGAAAAAATAATTATAAATATATTATTATAAATAATTTAAAACAATATGAAAATAAAATTTGTATCACAAAAAATAAAGGAAATATTTAAATTTATTAAATTAAAAAAAATAATCAACCGATCAATGAAATTAAAAAATGATACAAATGAAAAATACATTTCAAAAATTGAATAAATTAATAAATGATAAAATTTTAATATATAATAAAAGAAGCAATAAATTAAAAAGACAAAAATATCAAATAAAAATATAACCAAAGAAAAAAGTTTATAAATCATTAAAAATGTTTAATTAATATAACATAAACAAATAAAATATAAACAATAAAAATTTAATACAATATAATATAAAATAACAAAAAAGCATAACACAACAAATATTGTGTCAAAATTCTTTAAAAAGAAATAAATATAAATTAGTATAATGTACCATTAAAAATAAGGGAAATAAAAAAAATAAAATTTTTTTCATAATAAATTCTTAAAATACAATTGTAATAATATAGAAATATAAATGATCAACAAATAAATTAATATAACATAAAAAAAAAAAAAAAAATGAAATTATTTTTTTTAATTTTTTAATTTCTTTATTAAATCTAAAATGCAAATGATTTACAAAGATTAACGAAATTTCTGCAAAATTTAAACATGGTCAAATTTAATGCATTTCAAAAGTAACACAGAAAATTTTAAATTATGAATTTATTCTAATGATGCATAGAAGCTTATAGCAATAGTAATAGCTGTAGTTGTAGCTGTAGTAATAAATAACTATATAAACTTCAGATTCGAGATGCATTACTGAAATCAACCACATATACATAGATCTGTATAACTAACTATACGAATTGAGTGAAAAACTGAATAAATACAGAATAGATCGACAAATACACTGGCCTACAAAAAGTATTCAGATTTTCATCATGTAATTTTACGTTACTGTGCTAAAAATCTGCGTTTCTCCCTATCGCACATATAAATAATGTTGGTAACAAAAATATTTATTTTTAACTCCTCTTCTAGTTTTAAATGCATGAAAACGAAGTTTCAAAGATCCACTGGGAATGAATTATCAGCGCATATCTTAGCGGTATTAGGCAAAGAGTTATTTCTATCAGCTTAATATTCTGATTAGTACTGTAAGTGATATCATAAAAAAATATAAAGAAACTGGTTCTTTAGAACCCAAGCAACATTCTGGATGACCAAAAATACTCAGTAAACACGATACCTAAGCTTTAAAACGTATTGTCTGAACTGACCAATTTTCTCTTCTAGGTAATGTGACAGACAAACTAAATACCAGTCTTGACGCAACTGTACACTATAATACAGTTAGAAGTTACCTTCATGATGAAGGTCTCAGAAGTTATACTGCACGAAAAAAACCGCATTTAACTCCAAAACATCAAAATAATCGCTTAAATTGGTGCAAAGAAAAAAAAATTGGATAGAGGAATGGAAACAAGTGTATGGTCGGATGAGTCAAGATTCGCTCTTTTTCAATCAGACGGTTGAGTAAGAGTATAGAGAAGTCCTGGAGAAGCATACAATAAAGATTGTATTTAGCCAACAGTTAAGTTTGAGGGAGGATCAGTGATGTTTTGGGATGTTTTGGTTGGCATGGGGTTGGTCCTTTGGTTGTGGTAGAAGGAAATATGGATTCTAACGAATATATAAATGTCCTGGCCAATAATTTTATCCCATGGGTTGACAATTACCCAAACTCCATTTTTCAACAAGATGGGACGCCCTGTCATATAGTATTCCGATTTTAGACTGGGTGGCACAGAGCCCCGATCTAAACCCCATCGAAAATCTGTGGAACCATTTGGATTATCAGGTTCGAAAAAGAAAGCCTTTGCCTAAGTCTAAACAGGAGTTAATCAGGGCAGTACAAGAGGAATGGCGAAAAATTACTATTGAAACATGTCATCGCCTAATTTTGAGTATGCCTAATCGGGTTAAAGCTGTAGGTGGTCATACTAAGTATTAATTTTTTAGCTATAATATTTTTCGTATAATAGCTTTATATTTTATATTTTAATAAAATAAAATTTATTTGTCAATTAATAAGTACGAAAAAATTTATATATGTACATAAAAATTATGAATTTTAATGTAAATTTTATAAATAAAAAAAAATCCGAATACTTTTTGTAGGCCAGTGTACATATCGCATCAAAATCATATCTTCTCTAAATTTAAAAAAAAATTGGACGAAACTAAAACTGAGATTTTTTAAATATAAGTGGCCCACGTGATCTGAAATAAGTATCATACCGCGCCTCTTACGTCATTTCTTTTTCATCTCTTTTATAGTTTTTTTTTATAATTTCCTCAAATATTATGAGGTTGTTTTATAAGTATGATGGTAATCAAACTAATAATCATTAGAATTTGCGGAATAAAATGATAATTTTCGATATTATCGATTGAAGTTTCGTTGGATTTAGGTATCTTGGGCTTAAAATAATGATATTACATTAGATTTTCAGCAACGAGTATCAAAAAGATTTTAGATAGATTTTATTTAAAAATTTGATAGGTATCAATTGTTTTTAATCCAGATTAAAGCTTTTTGATCACTTCAAACCGAACTTGGTTGATGATCCATGCAAAAAGAAATAAGAATACCGCTGACAGAATCACCACATCCAATATTCCCCATTTTCTGTTGTCTTTAAAAAAGTAATATTTAATTTAATTAAATTATTAAGGTAAGAGTCAAAGAAAATTGAAGAAATGCACTTACTAAGATAATGATGTTCAATAAACTTTGCGATTTCTTGACCTTGATCATCTACAAATTCGAGAGTATCATTTGTGTATGAAGCTTCAATTACTTTTATCACAAATTTATCTTTTTCAAATTCTTTATATTTTTTGACCTGCTTCTTAACTTTACTTCTAGAGATATTTCTTGTGGAATTCGTGTTAAGACGCTTTGTTTCAATTATAATGTAAACGCCATGCTCAGACCCAAAAACCAGATCACCAACTTCATAATGTTCACAATGATGATAACCTTTCTTAACACACCATTCAAAGTCAACGAGATAATGAAAACCGGGTAAAATCTTATCAATATTATCAATTAAATAATTTTTCACCACATCCTCCGAATTATAACTGTTATGATTTAACTTCCATTCCATCCTTTTTTCCTCATCTACTTTTTTTAACCTTTTAATGAAAGGTTGAAACCAAGTTTTACTTATCATCAAAGTATTTCTCAAAGTATCCCCCTTTTTATAATCAACGTATATATACGTATAAAAACGTTGTGTGACTTTAACGTTATTTGATCGAAAAGCTTCTTGAAGCAATTGATCAATAAAGTAACGACCAAATTCATGATATCCTAAAAAAAGAGAAGGATTTTCTTGTTCGAAAGGATGAGATAAAATTTTTGAACAAATGCTTAAAACAACTCTTCTTTGCGGTTCATAATGAATATTAACTCGAAAGAAAAATGACCGAAAGTAATCCATCATATAAAAATTTAAAAAATTGTCAACAAAAAATAAAAGCCATTCATTTTTATTTATTTTTTTGTTACCAAATTTGGGAATTGATAAACCTCATCATGTGGCGGATTTCTATATAATTTTTTTTTTACTAATCAAAACAAAATTTAGCTTTAAATTTATATTTGCAGCAGCAAAATTATGAAAATTACATCAGTGTACAAAATATTGTAATATAAGAAAGATCAAAGAACATTTTAAATATGACATGAAATATGAGTAAAAAAATAAAAAAATCCAATTTTATAATAATTTATTCAGGTATAAATTATTTATTGATGATGCTTAATAACTTTTCAATTTTACCATTAAGGTCATTAACTATATCCTTGAGATCTTCAACCTTCTTGTCAAGCGACGTAACCTTGGCGACATCTTCCTCATCCTCGGAATTATTATCATCAGATTCCATCTCATAACCATCCTCATTTGTGGTTCTACAATCCCGCCAAAGATCATCATCATTCTCCACATACGGTAATCGAGTTTCTATCATCTTCTCTTCGTAATCATTATATAATTTGTTTTCCTCGGATTCTCGACTCTTAACCTCTGAATCCCATGCGTTATAACTTTTGGATTTACCTAAATAATAAATATACTTTGGTTCTGGGATCGGAGGATATAAATATATTTGTTCTAATGCTTCATAGTCAGAAATTGATTCGGCACGAAATCTTAATAATGCGGCACCACCTTTTGTATATGCTTCAGCATATACACCCCTAACCAAAAAAACGTTGATCATTAAAATGAAAGAGTGTACCTTAAATAGGTTCAAAAAAAAGAAAAAAACCTACCATATGAAGGCAATAAACATATTTTGAAGGATAGTTATCAGAAGCATGCTACCAAATAACGTAATGACCTTTACCGCCCAAAAATTCCACGTATCTTGTTGTAAAAACTCACCATTTAACCAATTATACGTTGAAATAAATGAAGTTACATAATTTCTAGCTGGATTATTTTCGGTTTGATCAAGATTTGTAAATTCGGGATGTTGTAATAAAAGTAAAAAACTATGCGCTATTCCAGCTATTACTAGAATCATAAATACAAGAAATATCCAAGTTTCTTTGATGATATTTAACATAATGTAGATATATTTCGCCGGTTCTTTTTTTTTTTTTAAAAAAAAAATTTAAAATTAAATGAAACGAAAAGATTAAGCCTAAAAAGATCATGCAAAACATTACATTATGATATTACCTGCTAATAATCGAAGGTATAAAATCTAATTTAAAATAAAAGCATGATACAATTTAATTCTCATTTCAAATATTATTTGAAAAAAAAATCATATAAAAATACTCACAAATTCAAACCAAAGCAACAACATTGTAAAAGTGATGGCAACGGCTATTTCTTGGGTTGTTACAGCATTAGCAAATGCATCTTTAATGCTAAATGAAGGAGTGGCATGAATTGACATTACAACCATTGCTATAATGACCGAAAACAAATCTACACAATTAAATAAATTAAAATAATGTCTCCAACCATAATGGACAAACTGTTTAAATTCGACAATCAATAAATAACTTCCCGAATAATAAAATAGGATAAAAACAAATATTAAGATATCACGAGAAAATCTTGTTGCTGATTCAAAATGTGCTAGATATGTTCCACAAATTCCCGCAAAACAAGTTGCGAATACGATATATATAAAAAAAAGTTGAAGGAAATACTTTCTTGCCGGACGCCATTTGTAATTAATTACAGCTTCCATTACCGGATTATTAAATATATCATCATTTTTTTCTAATCTAATAACCTGAACAAATGGACTAAGTAAACGACTGTCTGAATTTTTTACGGCAAAACTTCGAGGGATAAATAATAATCTCAAAAGTTTTATAATAAATGATTTGTCGTCAATTTCCCTTTTATGAGGTGTATTATTAACAGTAAAATTGTATAAGGGGACCATGTTTACAGTTGGAATGTAATTTTCATGTTCATTTGCAAAAATCTTTACATAAAGTTTTTTCAGTCCCAACTCAATTTTATCTCCTAAACATTTAAAACTAATTTTCTGTTTACTTCTAGAAATGAGTTTCGAAATAGGATTAAATGCCAAAAAATCCTGTTTTATTTTTAAAGCCACTTGAAAGTTTTTAGGTACAATATCAGTATATTCAATGATATTGGATATTTCTATCCCCTCCATGCATCTTTTATAAAATAATTCGCTCACATAAAGTTCTATTAAATGAAAAAAATTTATAGATTAAAATAATAATAACTAATAATAATAATAAAAATAAAGTACAAACCTAATTTAAATTCATATAAATATGGTAATGAGTCTGAAATAGTGATTAACCATCCGGGGTGTTCGGATGCATTTGTTGCGTAATATTCAAGTAAATACGTAACTATTAAAATTCTACGGTTACGTTCTACATCTATAAAAAAAAAAGATTTTATTTTTAATAACAAATATATTAAATTTTATAAAATCTTTTTTAAAAAAAAAAAATAAAAAATACCTGGTTTACATAATTTAATGGCTGTTTGTAAATCACTCAAGGAATGATCAGAATCAGCCCATCGAGTTCTTCTTGGTATATGCAAATATTTATGCTCACCAAATAAAATATTTTTAATAAGAGGATTAGATCCACTAATTATAATCTTCTTCATAAGGTTATAACGAATATCCATCATTCTCCAAATATCTGGATAATTTTTGATAAATTTCCAGATCATTGCAGAAATATTACCTTTAATTTTTTCAAATGCTAATTTATTTTTTTTTATTTTTTTTTGATAGAAATAAATTTAAAATTTTTCTTAAAAAAAAAAAAAAAAAAGAAATGAAGGTATTAAAATAATACCGTGTTGATTATCATATCCATTTAAGTGATTTCTTTGATAATTCAAATATTCAAGAGCATTACAAGCATGTTGTATTGGAATTTCATAATTTTCATATGGCCATTGAATATGAGTATATTGATCACTTGCGATTTCTTTCCATTTGACTGTAAGGTGAAATCCATGATAATAAACGATTAATTCCAACACTTCCAAAGTATTATTATTTTTGTAATCATTATCTGCCCAAAAATATTCGAGAACAAATTTTTGCTTTTTCTTCATAATTTTACGCCACACTTGGATAGTATTTGTTCCAATATACAATTGCATTGATTCTTCTTTATCAAGATATATCCACATCTTTTTTTCAGAAATTTTGTTTATCCATGGTTCACTATTGTGAAAGAATGGTTGTGGTTCCATTTTTGAAGGATCATGATGAAAAATGCTATGAACATAATCATATTTCATTTCAATCATCTTATTTGGTGTTCTTTCTTGGTTTTTATCGGTAGAAATGACAATACTATAAGGAGGTGCCAAACTTTTATCTTGAATATATTTGATCTTAAGTATACTATCATATATTGATAATATAGAACCATTAGAATTCACCGATACGAACTTGCCGGGAATTTTTGCATTATATGAAGGATTTTCATCATCCTCATCCAACTCAAGGTTTTTACAGACAGGTCGAAATCTATTCTTTGAATTATATAAATACCAAAGTAACATTTCTCCATGTTTACTTTTGGATTTTTTAATAATTATCATTAATTTGTCATCATCCTTGAATTCACATGCGATGATTTTAGTATTCTTTTCAAAATTTTTGCTAATGATTTCAAGACCATTTTCTATCAAATAAAGGGATAATTTTCCATTTCCAGAAGAAAAAGCAATGATTTGCTCATTTTTCGAAATTGCCAATATGGGTTTGCTATAGTTGTCTGAATATTTATTTTCTTCATGCATATTAAAAATTTGTCGTATTTGCATGGTCGTTAAATCATATAATTGCATTACTTGAACCCCTTCTTTATATTGTTTAATATAAAAATAATGATCAAATACGGAATTTTTGATTCGTGAGAAGCAAGTTTTTGACCTGAATAAATTATTTAACTCGTTATAAAGTCTTTTCGGATAATTGAAATGTTCCAAATCTTCAATATAATCGTCACAATATTTGAGCCTATGAATTCCACAAGCATTAAAAATAAAGCAATAGGTTTTTGTTGCTAATAAATCCCTGGTGGTTTTATCATGAACAAATAAAACGACCCCTCCCATATTTTCCACTTTCCATTCTTTGGTATAATTCTTTTCCATTTTTAAATTTAACACCATTTTATAAATAACAGTTTTTCCACTTAAATGATTACTTTCTCCACTTTCTCCCAAATCGTCAATTTTAATTTCTTCAATTTCTGAAATATTATCTAAATTTATTGATTCATCATTCTTGACCAACATGTCAGTTTCTGTCACACAAGATATTGCTACAAAGATCACGTCTTGGTTCATATATTTAACTTGATTAGATATGGCCAACATCCATTTTGAATATCTATTGCTCTCTTGTCCACAATTAAAATCATTATTCTGCAGAGGTGTATTATGTTCGTTTGGAGATTTATATAATTTAAAAAGTTCTTCTTTAATATCGTATAACTTTGCATCATTAACCTCTTCGTACTTTTCAAATTCTATGATTTTGAATTTTAGAATTTCTGCAATATATATATAAGAATAAATCATCTTACGAAAAAAAATGGAATACAAAAAAAAAACCAATAATAGATATGTTGAATTACCATGATTAAAGATAAGGATATATTTTCCATCGGGACTAATTGCAATGTGCCAAACCGAATTTTTTTGTCCTAAATATTGTGAGATTCTCTTCTCTTTTTTACAAAAATTTAATTAGATCTATAAAATTACATATATATAAAAACAATATTTATAATTGAATAACAACATACTTTCTACATAATTGACATTGTAACAAGCAAAAAAAAAAAAGAATTAAGTTCATTTAAGTCCAGCATAAAATCATTCTGATGTGATAGAAATTAAAGTATGCTTACGAACTACAAGATAAAAGGTTATTTATAATTTAATAAAGATTTCGTTAAAATTTATAAATTTTATAGTGAAAGTAATATAACTTACCGACTAACGTATTGTTAATCATTTTAATAGAACTTTGTTAAGTTGATCGATCATATACGAAAACGACAATCATGATAAAGATTAGACACTTACCATCTATAAGATTGATGTTTAAAATAATAATTTAGCCAAAATACAAAATCATTTTATGTATGATACAAATTAACTCACTTACTTTCTATAAGAGCTAGCAAATCATTTAAAAAATATTTAGTTAAAGTTATAAATTTTACACGACGGCATGTATATGAATATTATATATATTGAGTGACTTACTGACTATTATATGATTGATAATTTCAATAAATTTCGTTAAAGTTAATAAATTAAACATTAATTATATTATGAACATAAGTAACTTACATTCTTCTTCATCATCATTATGAAATCAAAAAGAAATTAGTTAAATTAAATAAATTTAAAATAACAATGACTATATATAAAGTCAAATAACTTACTTGCTATAATATAATGTATTTAAATAGGATTTGGCGAAATTGAATAATTTTATAAAACCAGTTGAGCTTATAATTACGAATTATAATAAATAAATAACTTACAAACTTGATTATGCATCGCATCAATAATAATTAGTTAAATACATGAATCATTCAAAAAGAATAATAATACAATTGAATTAAATAACTTTTTACCTATCGTGATATTTTTTTTTTTTAAAAAAAAAAAAAAATAGTTAATAAATTGCATTTGCGTTATTGAGTTCAATTTTGTAGTTACTAATGAAACATCGCTATATGTAGTAATTTACCTCCTGATTTGGCAACTTCACTTGCATCTCTGACGTCCGCAATTGATTCTAATATAATATTTTCGCGAATTATTTTTAAAACTTAGTTGTAGCCCGCCCAAATTTCAAACGTTCACGTACATGCAATATCACATGAAAGTATTAAATACCTATTTCTATTAAAATATTGCAATTAAATCAATTGCTAGAAAGGAAAATATTGAAATGAAATTAAAGTAAAAATTACCCGTCATAATATTAAAAAAATTAGGAAAAAAAAAAAAATTTAAAGTTCCCTAGAGAAACGTTAACAAATAAATTTTACAGAATATATATAAGATGCCATGCATAAGGATCGACAAGATGCGCATTAATAATGCAATGCATTCGGTTATTCGGTTTCAGAAAATTCTATTGTTGGATAGTAGTACCAGTAGTACTAGCCGCGGTAATTATTGTGGAAGACTTTTTTAGTCATTTTCAGCTAACCAAATCTCATTTGAAGATTTCAATAACAATCATAAATTTAAGTCATCGGTCAACTAAATTGTCCGAGTTCCAGAAACTTCTATTTCAACTTACTCAAAGAATTTGATATTGCATCAAATCAAAATTTGGATCATTAAAGGCTCAGTCACGGCTCAGTCATTTAAAAATAACGAATTCGACTCTGTTAGGATTTTTTTTTTACAAAGTCGTCAACACTGATTCAATTAATTTTATAAGTTTTTAAGTAATCTTTGAATGTTTGACTTAAATTAGGTGATGATCGCCTTTGTCCTAAATAAATTTTATATACAATATGTTTTGGGAGAAAAATACTATTGTTGTCGCACGGCCTCTATACAATATGCAGGTATAATATATTTCATTATTTTGGTATTTATTAAATTATAAACTATTAATTCTATTATATTATATTAAAAGTTGCATTTATTAAACATTGTAAGATGGGTAAGTCATTTATTAATGGCAAATTACATATTATATATATTTTTTATTATATTTAGCATTATTAAATTTTTTTTACAACAATTAGTCTAATGTAAATAAATATTCATTTTGGCAACCATTTTAAATCAACAAATCCAAGATTTCAAATTACAGCTAAGTTTTCATTAGTTCCATAGTTATTTTTAATTACTAATTATTAACAAATGTATAAATAATAATTTGTATTTATTTATTACTAGCTTAAAATATATAAAAACTTGTTTTTTGATATTTTTATTGATATCCAAATAAACTATAAATTGATAATTTATGGATATTGTACGGTGTGTTCTTTACATTATTAACTACACGAAGTGACGTTAACCAATATAAATAACACACCGTATAATATCCATAAAATATTTTATTATGCCCGGGGCACTGTGCCCTAAATTTGTCTACAATAATATTTGGAGATCATTTGTCCTCCGACAATACTTTAATTACGTTAGATTTGATTATATTTTGTTGTCATTATTAAAATAATTAAAATCATAAACCTTTTGTTATTTTTAATTATGTTTACAGCGCATAAATAACTGATAACAAATAAAAGTTCAATTTAGAAATAATTATATTCTAAACAACTCATAAATCATGACGGTTTTTAATTTTAAGATCGTCAGAGGCGAGAATCACGGAATCAGATTTTTTATATCAACAGGGCGTGGCGTGTATTGTATAGAAACAAATACGGGATTAATTAATAAAAAATTTCAATGTTTGAACAAATTGACATTAATTTAAATAAATTTAAATTGAAAACTTTGTAATTTTTATTAATTACTATATCGACCGTGTGACCTATATTTTTTTTATAAAGATAGCAATGATAACGGCGGACACAGATCGGTCAAAGGTCGTTGCTCGACGGCAGTTTAACGGTATTCGCAGAATATTTTTTTTTGGATATTTTAATTTTTTACTTTAACTATCCTAACATGGAAGTTTTTTAAAATATTTCCTTATATAAAGGATTCAATATAATATATACACATATTGATTTACTTATTCATTTTATGCTTACTTTTAATTTCATATTTAATAATGAACAGTTTTATCGCGACTTTAATTTTTTTTTAAATTCTAGAATAAAAAATTTGGTTAACCTGGTGGTCGGTCGGTCAGAAGCTTTTAACAGATATCAGCCACGGTTATGACCGGATAGAACCTTCTGTTCAATCTACGCAGTCGTCAACTGAGTCGCGACTCTAATTTGACCATACGTTTTCTTAATATTTGATCAATGATTTTAATTAAAATTTAATTAACAGAATTGAATTTGCAAGCTTTTACCAGAATTTAGTTGTCTATCCCATTCGGCTAAAAAAATTTGAAACTTTTTTTAATTGTAACATTTTATAAATTCAAGGTTCAGTTATTTCTCAGCCGTGGTTCATACACATGTAAAAAGGTAAAAAGGATGTGACAAATTTAATAAATTAAAAAATCACATGATATAGGAAAATAAAATGTGACCAAACCGAAATGAGTGATGTATTCTTGGAAGAATGGAAGCACTATTGTAAAAAAGATTTTCTAATCGGATGCATCTATGCACATAATTGCACAAATATGTTCAGTACTGTAGTTTTAAGTGATGCAATGCCTCCAGTGCATAATCATTAATTCTCTCCTTAATGGAACTATAAAAAAGAATATTCGTAAATGATAAAAAGATAAAACCTAATTATGAAACTAATTATTTACATTCGTTTTTATTAAATTAGTCACACATTATGTATAAGCTATCATTATTTTATACCTTACTTATACTAGTAATTTTTCTAATTAATATTCACGATTCTCATTAGTGAATAATAAAATTCAATGTAACTTTCAATTAAATTTATAAATAAGTTAATAAACTTTGAGATAAAATCAAAAAATTGATTATTTAGACGTACATTATTTATGAAAAGTACCACAGTATTGGTACCATTAATTATAACGTTTCCTAATTATTAGATAAGATCGCTTTTTTAGATTACTTTTTATTGCAAGTAAGGTGATTATTACGAAAATTTTACAGTAAGTTTAAATAATATCAAGGGATTTCATGTGTCATTTGATATCTCAAGGTAATGTGAAATAACTGGAAGTAATTGTGTATAATTAGATAAAGTTGCTTTATTAATATGCAAAATGTTGAATGAGAAGAAATCATCATTCAAGGCAAGAACGCGATTGAAAAAAACAAGAGCCGGATCACTTGGCGGTTAGGTCATCAGGTTACCCGGAAGTAAATATTTATCCGTACAAAACAAAAAACTATTCGCGGTTATGATCCGCAATCCATTCAAATTTTGACCGTCCACAATTATTCCCTGAATAAGGAATTTCATTTCATTTAGATGAATTTAATCAAGTATAATATTTTATATATTAGCTCCAAACTTTGCAATGTAAGCGATTCTTTTTAACAAATAACAACTGATTCATTACTTCGGATGCAAAACAGGATCATCTGCATCATATTTGGAACGATGTAGCAGATTTTGAAAGAATAGAAAAAATGATATATAAATTTAAGTTACAGTCTATAGATCTTTTTTTTTTCATTACATAATAATAATCTTCTCAAATTGGCATTCGACTAGCAAATCGATTTCTTTTTAAACCACATAAATTACAAATTAATATCAAATTCGAATAATTTATAACGGGTCTAACCGACGGGTACTCGCCTACACTACCCGTGTTCTACAGATATTTGGCGCACCTGTGAGTACTCGACCCGGGCCCAATCCATAGCCTAATTTGATTTTTCGAATATAATAAAGTACCTCATAGTGGAAACTGGACGGAGGTAGCTACGTCCTTTAATATTAGCTTTTTCGTAAGTTACTTTACTTCTCTCGTTTGCATTAATTTCATCGTTAGTTTTATAGAATTGCTCTAAATAAGGGATTTCTTTCAAATTATCATCATGTTAATCATATGCGGTACGCGGGCGATCTCCTAGCAAGCTCAGTCGTGAATATTTGAAGAATTTAATTCACGTTTTTGGGGTTGCCAGGTAAATCTGAAGTATTTTATTATCTTTTTTTTTTTAATTGTTCCTGTATAAAGCGTCTTCCTGTTCAAAGGTCTCGAATTAAACACAGATTAATCTGTATGAAAATATATATATATATATATATATATTTTTGCAGGTTTCGTAAATAGAAATGGATTTCGTTTCGTCACAACTTGGTTATCTATGGATTAAATTCCCGAAAGTTACTCCGAATATTTCTTTATTTGATAAATATTTGAATTATCGTATACAATTTTCAATTTATCAAATAATCATTTAAATATTATATATTTTACGAAAATAATCCGCCTAGGTGAAATATAAAAATTTATCGCAAGATCATAAATTTCGATGCTGGTACTCAATCATGCCGCGTTTATTGTAACCGATCCTTTTTCCGTGCAGACTAGAGTATTTATGGAGAATTACATACGGGTGAATTTTTGCAGAGGGCTGAATAAAAAAAAAGTTGAATCATTTTGCGGTTATTAATTTTCTTTGACAAATTAAAAAATTAGCAAATAAACAATTTACACTACCTACTCAATTTAGGACCACCCGGCAAATTAGATTATTTTATAGATCAATATTACTGAAAAATTATATACAATAATTTTATTAAAAAATAATAATTTTTCACTTTTAAATTTTTAAATAATATAATTTATAAATTAGCAAATGATTTATTATTATAATCTTTTTAGAAACCGTTTTTTTAATGAAATAAATAAAATTAATTTACTTTATTAATTTATAAATGTATTATATAAAATTTTATTCAAAAATTATCATCACGCATAATTTAACAAAAAAAACCCAACCTCATTATCTTGCAAATTTAAGAATTAAATTACTAAAGCGGCTTAATAAAAATCATTGTATTTTACAAAAAATCGTAAACTATAATTAATTTTATATAAATAAATTCAATAACAATTCAATAAATATATTGTCAATATCTTGTAGGATAGCACGAACTTTATCTCTCAACGAGTTTTTGATAAACTTCATGTTGAATTTGAGATCAGCTCTCTTGAAGAAACGATTGGAATATCTGTTCTTGCTCTATATGTCATTCAAGATCTCAATTGGGTTAAGATCAGGACCTTGTCCTGACCATAGTTATCATCATTATTTTCCATAATTGTTCATGTTCTTATACTTTTGAGGATCGGTGCTGGAAGAAATATCCACATTTCTTCTTCGAATTCTTCTAAAAATAGTATTACATGATAGCCAAGGATCTCTTGTATATACTATTCATTATTATCCTGAACATCAATCATCCGTCTTTCTCGAGCCTTATTTATACGAAATTTTCGACTAGGTGAGGCTTTCTAAGAGTTATTCGACTATGATATCCCATTTTATAACTTTACGCCTTATATAATAGATTCAATAAATTCTTTTTGTATTTTTTTCCTGCAGCTTTTGGTTAACAACAATTTTAAGATGACGTTTTCACGTTCATTCATTTTTTGGGACGTTGTTGACCGGGTTTCTGTAAAGAACTATCACGTAATTTAATTCAGTTCTTCGAATTAATTAAAACTTTATCACAATCACGCCTGTCATGTCAAAAGGTAATAGCAAATGAATAATAAATAATTTTATTGAACTCTTGGTTTATACCCAAAACCATATCTCGAGTTATCTTTCAACTCAAGGGAAAATACATTATATTATATAAAATAAAACTAAATATAATATAATGAGAAATAATGTCCCATGTAATTATAATAAATATAATAATTAAATTATATAAAATAAATCTATCTAATATTACAAAATTAATAAAGTTGACCAATTTTATCAATTTTATCAACAAAATAAGGAAGGTGATCGATGAACAGCTTCAAACGGTGCAACATTGAATGCCTTATAAATACAATATAGCAAATGTAAGAAATTTTATAAAAAACACCTGTAGGAAGAAATTCGTTTCTCTGACCTTTCAGTACGCCTAAAATTGACAATTTATTTTGTTCTACCATTTTAAATAAACGGAAAAGGTCAAACAGAAAAAAAAATACTGTTATTGTTTATTGTGATACAAAATTTCTATATTATATTACACACAAAATGCTAGTGTAGAATATAATTAATCACGAAAATGTTTTTGAAAAAACAAAATGAAAATATTCTAAAAGACTTGGAAGCAAAATTTAAGGAATTTACCAAAGTAACGATTAGATATGTTCACAACACAAATATTTAAAAGAAATGTTAAAAAGCGAGAAGAAATTAAAAACTATTAGAAATTTAGATGAAAAGGGTAGAGAACTAAAGGAAGTAACCAAAGCCGAATAGAAGAAAACATGAATTCATTTATTATGATACTATTGATAGTCTAACTATTACGGATAATAATAAAGATGACATATGAAAGTCTTATGGAGAAAATTGCAAAGATATCAAAAATTAAAAGTATTATGTAATAAGAGTACATAAATAATTTGCTTACCAACTTTACCTAACTCCTTAACTGAACTAGGTTGCTAAATTTCTTCAATAACCAGCTTACCAAATTTGTCTAACTCTCTAAGAATTCTTAACTGTAGAAACACTTATATAGAATACTAACAACGCCCAATTGTTATTGGAAAGAAGATATGTACAGTTCTCCAAGAAAAATTATTTTTTATTTACAAATATTTTAGACATAATTCTTTATATTTGCTATTGTTAATATTACAAACAATTCATGCTATACTTTTTTCTACAATAATATCAAAAATGATCTAAATAAAAATAATATTTAAGCTATTCATCAAAGAAAATAGATTATTATTGTGAGAGAATTATAAATAAAAAAAATGAAAAAATCCTAAAAATTTTATTATTAAACAACTTTCATATATTGTAACTAATTTGCTATTTTCAGGGCAAGCTTAAATGAGATTAAATAACCCTAGCGAAAAATGGTAGCCGATATTTGACCAGTTTACAGACGTCGATTTACAGTAATTACATAGACGAATTCTTGTACTAACACTAAGCTCTATCTCCAACTTAATAAAATTACGAAAGTTTGAACTCTTTTTCTAACACCTTAACTTTTCAAAAGTGAAACTTTATAACAGCTTATTAATATACAATATATATATATATAATATATATCATAAAAAAAGATACCTTTATTATTTGTTTACTCTTCTAACCTTTATGATACTACATTATTGCGAAGCGATTTAAAGTTAAATACTGATCCATTTTTAATTACGGTGCACAAGTGTAACGAAAATGACCATTAAGCGAGCGGGCGGACAACGGGTCATTTGTTTAACTTATCTAGAATTTAATACAGTTCTTCATTTCGCTCCGGACTAATAAAATTTTAATTTAAAAATTTAAAATGCATCTTCAGTAATAAAAGGTTTATTAATAAAACTACCGGAGAGTGCCCGAAATCATGTGTGTCCCGGTAACTTTTCCAAAAAAATCACGAGTCATAAGGTGGATCATATGATCTTTGTTTACTGCATTTGGCATGTGAAATCCGATGACAAAATGAAAAAGCGCCCTTTCCTATTAATAAAAAAAAATGAACTGCCAGAAATATGATGGAACCATTCATCCAGATGAATGGATAAAAGATATTCAATCTTATTGTAACAGTCATTTAAAAAAAGTAACAAATATAAATTATGCAATTTCATTAGTAAATGGTTCCATCAAACTCCCGAGTGGAATTACTAATTTTGAAAAACTTCGTAATGCACTTAAAGAGGATATTTCCTTTAAAGTATTCAAGAATACAAATAAAATGAAATTACAGTTATTAGAATATATTCCCGAGAGAGAAGGCGGAGAAACTTCAAAATTCATTTCAAACTTTCGCCAATTATGTTATAATGCTGAGATTACTGATATAGAAGAACAAAAGCGTTATCTTTATTTATCAATTCCAAATGATTATATTTTAAATGAATTATATAAGAAATGGAAAAGTATCAAATCAACAAATGAATTAATTGAAGAATTAGGGAATATTTTTATAGATGAGTCAAATTTGATTAGAAATGGATCTATTATAGCTTTAAAGCATTTTGCTACAGGGAAATATTTAAGTTCGATTGAAGATTTACATTATACAACCGGATCTAAATTTCAATTGGTATGATTTTTTTTATAACTAATAACCTTTATTTTTTATGCTAGATAAATTTACAATTATATTTATTAAACATTTAGGTTTTTACAAAAGATTTGTTTGATTCGGATGCTTTCTGGCAAATTACAATTTCGAATTATAAAGATCTAGTTTTATACGCCGATAAATTTATAAATTTACAACACATAAATTCTAATAAATTTCTTGGAATGTATCAGGGTTATGTTAGATCTCCAGCAACTAAGCACACCGAAGGTAGTCATTTAAATTTTGTTATTTCAATCTATATTATTTTTAAAAGGTTTAATATTGTTATATTATTTTATTTAGTAAATTGTTCAGATGATAAATTTCAATGGGAATTTAATAATAGTAAATTAGAAAATTATCAAGGATATTTGAAATCAAATGATATTATTAATCTTAGTACATATAGTCAACAACAAGTATTTTTACGTAGTCATGATTTTCAATTTACAATTGGAAATGATACCTTTCAAGAAGTTGCCTGTCATAACGAAAGATTAGGTGGAAATGATGAGGTATGGCGAATGAATTACTTATGTTAATTAATTAATTAAATTACTTTTTTATTGATATTTATTTTATTTCTTAAGTGGTGCATTGAACTTATAAAACAGAGTTAAACTTTTATATCAATAATGTAAGAACAGATTTCAACAGCTTGCTAACAGTAGATCAAATTTCTGACGCTATCTTCAAAGTTTCCAATATCTACAGTCATCACTCCTTCAGGTGGATAAAAAAGGTTAATTACAAATAAAATTTGCTAATTATATCTGATCCGAAGAATTTAGCATGATCATGTGCAAATAAACAAAGCTTAAAGGATTAATAATTGTTCTTTTTTTATTAAAAGCATAAAGTTTAACAAGAGACGTCTATATTTATTTTTTATTCATTCATTTAAGGTAAAAGATAAAACATAAATATTGATAATTAAATCTTAGCAATAATAACTAATTTACAATTTTCTAACTTATCTTTTTGTTAAATAATTTAATTATTGATTTATTCTAATAATATTCACCAAGCATTCCTTGATTTTCTTTATATTTAAAAATTATAGTTATAAGCCGAAAACAACTAAGAATCATTTGAAATGAGCATTTAAGCCTAATTTGAGATCCTTTTTATTAAATAACTGGTTAATATGAAGCCTTAACGTTATCACTAATTTCTAGTAAAACAAAAAACAATGAGGGCAAAGTAAAATAAAGCCCTATATGATTCAGTATAATGACCTCTAAAATTACCCGATTTTACTGGATATACTTCACTAAAAGGAACTCAGAAATTTAGTAGTCATTTGTCATTTTATATTGTATATATTATAGTTTTAGAACTTAATAAAATAAATAAAAAAGGAAAAATATAAGTTCTATGTTGAAGCTTCCGGTCCGTAGGAAGTAATGCTTTGCAAAAGGGTTTTAAAATTTTTTATAAAATAACGTCACATAATACATTTGATCTCAATTTGTCCTTGTATGTAATAGTTATTTCACGGGAATCCATGGATATCAATGAATTTCACGGTGCAGCCGTGAAAATCATGATATTCATGGAAATTCCCGTGAAATAACTGTTTTATATCACGGTTCTGCCATATCGTCATAAACATACTTTTTTTTACAATTTTTTTTTACTACAATAAACTTTTCAATCATCCATCTTTTTTTAGCGCTATCCTTTTTTTTTTACTTAACTTTCTCACTTCACCTTTTTAATTTTTATTTCCCTTCTCTTTCATTTTAACTATGGGTAAAAAAAATAGAATTTCTTCTGCAACAAATATGCCCTTTCCCAGTTTTCAAACAGCAGCTAGTTTAATTTCTAATGATCCTAATACCAATATTCAAGATATTGCTCAAGAAAAAGCTTCCTATTATCGTGAAAAAGCAAAAGTAAAAATACTGAAAAATCTACTAAAAGCTGGACTATAAAATTTGAAGAATTTCGTAACAATGCAGGTTATTTTGTTCCTTTGACTGAACTTAATAACATATCGCAACTTTAAAAACAAATTGTAGAATTTATCTCTACAATGAAAAAAAGATGGCAATGAATATAAAGCAACATCGGTTAAGCAAGCTGTTGATACACTTAATAGACACCTTCTTCATAATTCATAAATATATGTTTTCTGATTTACATGATTTTTATATGGCAAATTATGTGATCTGCAAGAACATGAATTTGGCGAAAAATCTGGTTCAATAGCTATCAATCCTCAACAAATCCAACAAATTTTACAACATCCTAGAGTTAATTCAAATAATCCTTAAAGCCTCTTATATCGTATTTTTTTTCGTTTATCTATAATATTAGCTATTCGTGGAGGTGAACATTATAATCTAAAAATTGATCAATTTAAATCTGATGGATGTAATGGCTTACGATTTTTTCATTATATATCCAAAAATAATGAATAATCAACGCAGAATTCAAGGAGGAGAGGCTCAAATTATTTCAATACCTAGTGATGATAATGGTTCATATTCAAATATTCAATTTTATTTATCTAAACGTCCATCTTCAGCTGATGAAAATTTTTATTTACAACCTAATCCATCATGGTCAGAAACTGGCATTTGGTATAGAAAAGCTTATATTAGAAAAAATAGTTTAAGTAAATTTATGCAAAAAATTGGCCATGAAACTCAAATTGATATTTCTAATTTGAATTACTTTCTAATCATTCTGGACGAAAAACTACTACACAAATTTTACAAGATCAAGAAATTTCTAAACATACTATTATGCAACATACTGACCATAAAATTGTTCAGGGAGTTCAGGCTTATAAAAAAATCAAAGTAAACCAACAACTTAATACTTTAAATACATTGATTAATATTACAGATACCATATTATCTTCTGAATAAAATAATTCATTTATTCAAAATAATATCAATATTAATAAAGATCATTTAATGTCACAAACACCTTTTCAAGAAATTTCTTTAAATTCAAATTCTTTAGATGAATCACCTATATTTAATAATTGTACTTTTTTGAATGTTTTTTATTATATTCAAAAATAGATTATTAAAATTATTTTGTATATACTATATTTTTAATAATTAAATATAAAAATAATTTTAATATTATTAAATTAACTTTTATGATATAATTTTTATGAATGATTAATTATACCATGAAAATATTAGTAAAAAACGTCACAGAAATTGATTAGAAACCGTGGTATAAAAAATTTATTTATTAATATCCATAATAATTAGCCTTTCTTAAATTCACTATAAAAAATATATTAAAAAGCACTAATTACTTAGTTATATGATTTATTGCAATGGCTTACATAGGATATTTAACCGTTGTAATAATTAATTAATTTGAAAAGAAGAAATAGGCTTTACTTTAATATAATATAACAGTTTGTGTTATAAAAGTTAGAATTAGTCACGTAAAAAAAATGTAAATTATTAACAGTGTTCTATATATTCCTACTGTAGAATTGCGGAATAATAATTTTAACTAAACTTTGCTTTGATCTAGAGATTTAGAAAATCAATAATATAATAAGAATGTTTTTTATAAATGCTATTATTTCGTATGGCATGGTATATTTGTTTGAAATAATGTTAAAGAATAATAGAAATTAGAAAAAATAATTGTTAGAATTTGATAAGCTTTTTTTAAGTATATCGTAGAGGTTGAAACTGGATTTATTTTTTATATTCGGATTCATTTATTTTCAAAAATTGAAACTGAATTTAATCTGATCTTATTATATCCAGTTACTTCAGATTCAATTCAGATTTATTATATCCGAATTTATTGTATCTGATAAAGCACTCAACTGCTAGAATTGCTAGAAGAAGTATACAACTTTCATAATGTTTTGCATGCAAATATATAAATTTTTTAGCTTAACAAAAAAAAATCTTATGCAATTAATCTGGTTATAACAATAAAAAGATAATATATTTGATTACGTCCTTTCTTTTATTTAGGATACTTTTCAGGTTGTGATATATAAACAAGTTTTTTAACAATTTTTTTATTTATTTTATATTATATTATGTTATTCATTTTTTAGGCGATTTAATCACGGCAGCTGTAACCATCGAAAGCTCACAGTATATATTTTTTATTTTGTTTTTAATTTTTCAATTTACCTTTTTTTAATTTTCAGTTCAATCACTTTAAGCTATACCATTAATATTTAGATGTAATACTTGAATCAGAAGAAATTGAAAAAACTCGCAAAAATTTACAAGAATTAAAAATAAAAAAAATCTTCACTCAAAGAGAATGACAATAATGAATTCGAAAATTTTTGTGTCAAATAAACATCATCACTTGTTACGTTCACATAAATCATTAGTATAGCATTTGTAAATAAATTCAAATTTAAGTTTAGTTTATAATGATAATTTAATAAATTAAACTTTATCAATGAAAATAATAATAAGCATTATTATTTGTTTTGTGTTTCTATATTAAGAATCTGCTCTTAAACGAAAACTTTTAGCCAATATTAATAAATTGTTTTTAGTTAATTGTGATGCATCTTATATGACTGGTTAAAGATACCGGGTTTAAATAAAATTGGATATAATAAATCCAGAGGTTTAAATAAATTTGGATATAATAAATCCAGTTTTTCTGCTAGACAAATTTTGTAACCGGTTTTAAATCTAAATTAGGAGTAATTGGTTTTAAATCTGAAGGTCAAATTATGTTTCAATCTCTAATATAGAGTGAGTATCTAATTTTTTCTGAAATTTATCATAAGTATTTATAATTTAACGTAAAGTCAAATATTATATTACAATGACAATTATTTTAAACCTTTAGAGACATAAATTTCTATTTAACTTCAGTGTCTGATAAAATGCATCATTTAGATCTTAGTTTGTTTGCTATCAAATTGATTTTACACAAGAATTATTATGATTCTAATATAATAATGTTTTAATTAACGAAATTGATTTCTATATAGTCACAATTCCTTATTTTCCTAATCTGAAAATATTTTCTAAAGAATTACAAATTGCAAGGCTAACTGCTAATGAATATCAGTCTTTGATGAAACAAATAATATTCGTATTAAATAATTTGTATAATAAAAATGATAAAGAAATAAATAATTTCATAAGTAATAATAAACTTATGAAATTATATTATAAAAGTTGGAATAAAATGTACATTATAAGTAGATATGTAGAATTTAATGAAGCTGATCTCAATAAATTTAAAGTAAACTGATAAATATTTTTATTAAATTAAATCTAAAAAAAATAAAAACTATAATAAATTATTTAGAATGCAATAAATAATTAAACTAAAAGGTTTATCTGAATTTTTGAATTTATCTTCAGTTCTAATCTGAAGTTTCTGAAGTTGCATTCATGAGTATATCACATTATTGATTTAATATGATTATATGATACATTAAATAGCTATATAATAAATACTTATAAAAGTCTTCACAAGGATTTCATTAAAGCCCTATACAGGATAAGTAATAAAAAGAATATTGAAACTCAGCTTTTAACTATAAGTATTTGATAATTTGATATTTTTTTTTATAATAATAATATAATATCAAATATTGAGATAAGATATCAGATATCACATATATTCTCTTGACAAACAGTAATATTAATATAATCACCTTGTCTATATAATTTTTTGGGAAGCTTTTTGAATTTTCATTACAAAATGCAAATACATTTTTTAACAAAATAAAAGACCTATCACAATTGATAATAGAATG